CTTCTCCTCCTCCTCTTCACTCTCCTCCTCGCCGTCCGTGCACCGCCTGGATCTCCGCCCCCGTTTCGCAGACTTGCGCACGGATGTCCACGAACGACGAGGCAAAAAATACAGCGATAGTTTGATTGGATCCCGCGCTGTCCGTCGGAAGCTCGCGGGGGCGGAAAGAGCAAGGGACTCGCGACGTCACCGGAGAGAGCCGAGCCCCGCCCGGCCCCGCTCCGCGCCGCACCGCCCTAAGCACCGACCCCTGCAGCCATTGACTACCTACGCGCAGAGCGCACAAGTAAGAAAGAAATTCAGCTGGCCAGGATTTGTAAAAAGGAAGAACATTTTGCAGAAAGGATACGCATTACCCTTCCAAAAACTTCTCTTTCATCTCCGTGTAAAATCGGATCTTCCTCGCATCTGGGACGGACCAAAAAAAAATAATGTTTGCGCAAACAAAATATTTTATTTAACTCGACGACGGCAGAACAAGAGGACGGGGCTTCCGAATCCCATTTGTTCCTCCTCGGAGACCCGTGGTTGCGGCCGAGGATGTTGGCGGAATTACGTCAAAGTACGTTCCCAGGACGCGCCGCTCCTTCGCTGTCGCAAATTACGTTCTGCGCGCGACCGCGGGGGCGAAGGCGAGGCGAAGACCTCGCTCCTGTCTCCGGCGGGGGCGAACACCTCTTCGCCCTGTCCGCCGCACGAAAGAGAGCAATCCCGGTTAATGGAGGCGATTGTGCCGGCTCGACGTCGACGAAGCCAGGCAGCGCAAATGGAGATAAGAAGAAAGACAAGAAACAACAACGCAGGCGTTGAAGTGACTACCACCGCGATTGGTTTTTCGCAGTGCTCGCGGCTCTCAAACCTAGTGTTCGATCTTCCGTTTAATCTTGTTTTTGTTATCAAAATCAGCGGATGCTCCCTATGCATTGTTAACACTATATTAATCTACTTTTTGTTGTCTCATTCATTCTTTATATGTGGACTTTAAATGCATGTTTTGATATCGTGTTTTACAATAACAATTACCAGGTACTGTACATTGATATTCATGCAACATTTCAAATATCTAAAGTGTTTTATCACATATATATATATATATATATATATATATATATATATATATATATACATATATAATATGTGTGTGTGTGTGTGTGTGTAGAGAGAGAAAGAGAAAGAGAGAGAGAGAGATTGTGGTTTTTTCGTTGCATTCATTAGGGCTACTTATTCATTCGTACATGGATTGTGAAATACGAGTGAATACCTTGCAAGCAGGCCCCAGGCAGCCAGGCAGGCTTGCAAGCAGGCAGGCACAAAGGGTGCCCCTGGTGCGCAGCGCCTGGAGTGGCGAGCATTCGATTTGCTCTCCCCGCACTCGCAGACACCGCCGCCGCCACCGCACGACAAGTGTCGACCCGTGAAATCAGCGGGCGCTCTTCGCCTCTCCGCCCCCGCGTCCCACTCCGCGCTATTTCCCCGGCGCTTCGCGTCTCTCTCCCTCTTTCCCTTCCCCTCCGCGCCGCGCCGCTCCGCGCCATGGCGCTTTCAAAGGCGCGGGGACCGAGCCGCCTGTAAAAGAGGAAGGCGGAGCGGAGGCGGGGCACTTGGCATTAACGCGACCGGCACAGAGCGCGCGGATCGGTCGCAGGGTATACCATTAAACCGCCCCGCCCCACGCCCCGCCTCCACACTCCGCACCCGATCACTCGCTCGAGCCGCAGCGCCCGGCAGTGCACGCTCTCGCACCATTTGCAGCTCTGAGAAAAACAATTTTTTTCTCCCAACAACGCTAGCGTAGCTGGAATGAACAAGTTTCATAAAAACAGGAAAATATTAGATTGAACTAATTTCTCATTACGGAAGTTGCGTATGGAGTTTTGTAACAAACGTCCCTGTTTATACTGCAATCTGAATACCACTTTTTCGCTCTCTGCCTTTTCACTAACTTCTACAAGAATCTGTTGGCTGCTAGCAAGTTCTTTTCTTTTCTGGTTTTTTTTTTTCTTTTTCTTTTTCTTTTTCTTTTTCTTTTTCTTTTTCTTCTCTGTTCAACGAGGGAAATAGTTTCGCGCTGTAGAGATAGTACTCTAGATATATTTCAGCTCAGCAATATGAAATAACTACTTTTTTGTAACGGCATACGCCAGTGTTCGTTGGTGAAGATTTTCAACTGCCAACACACAAAAATCCGTCAAACTCGATTGCCTTATGTTTCTAGGGCCGTTTTGTCATTCAAACCTCGTGAAAACGATTTGATGTGTCCATTTTCTAATTCCACAGTCGTCCCCAGTGAAGACGAGGAGAAAGTGCGGTGTCCGCGCGGCAATTAGCTTCCCGCGGGCGCAGCGGGCGCTCCGCCATCGATTGATTCCGCCCATTGTGCCCTGGCGGAGCTTCCCCCCATCTCGTCGCCACGCCGCCACTCCCCTTTGTGCGCCCGTAATTAACGCCATTGCGCAAGCCATCCTTGGCTGGCGAGCGAGCCAGCGCGGGAGCGTGCGCCGGCTGGGCCGGACTGTGCTGTGCACGGATAAAAGGGCGGCAAGCGCCACCGCCGCTAATGGGGCGGGGTCCTCGCACGTGGAGAGCCGACCTCCTCCTCCTCCTCCTCCTCCTCCTCCTCCTCCTCCGGGGCCCATTCCACAATAGAGAGGCCCTTTGTGCCCGGAGCGTCCGGCCGGTCGGAGTCATACGCGATGGGGAAAGGCGCTCGACCGACCTCCGCCGGCCCCTCAAGACCCGCGAGGCCTCCACGCGAATACACGCGCCACGCAAGGCGGCCCGACGAAGCAGCGCCGAGAGAAGTTGGGAGACGAGCGAGACGCAGCGGAGTGCGACGACGCGGGAAGCGCGAAGAGTGATGAACGAAGGGGCGGGGCTGGGCGCGGCGTAGCGCAGCGCGGCGCGGTTTGGCGTCAGTGGCTGCGAAACACAATGGGCGCCGTCTGCGCGCGGTGATGGATGAAATATGCGGGAACAGCAGAGCGGGCGCGGGGGCGGGCTAGGGGTGGGCGCGGGCGCCAGTGCGGGCACAGGGCTGGCGGCGGCGGCGACGGCGTCCAACCACACTGGAAGCCACCATCCACTTGTCATTCGTTTCCTCAATGCGGGCGCGGGTAGACAAGATCTGTTGGCCGTCCCACGCGCTGGCTTCGAAGCAAACTCGTCATTAATCAATTTGTTTTAAATTACAACCAGGGCGCGATTTGTGACGCAACGCGACCATCCGATTATTCCGTTACCTCGGCAATAATTATTAATTACATTATAAATTTATCACTATTTGTATTAAATTAATTAATTTCAGGCGCATTCTTTTATAAATAAAGCATTGATTAGAACAAAGATAACTAGTTGACTTCTGCAGCAAAAGCTGTTTATCTGAGGCTCCACTCTAAATTTGTTTTCCTTTTTTCTCCGCTGGCGCCATAGCTCTGACCGGCCCTAGACCGAAGGCCCGCCCACTCGTAGCATAGCCATGCAGATAAATCCATTCATAAGAAATTTTTGAGCTGAGGCTGAGACACACTGAATTACACAGTGTAACTAGCGTCACAGTTAATGTTATACAATATTGAGGTTCTATATAATAAATGTGAGTTCATTTTGAGAAGCCTAATTAAAGTACTATTGCAATTGGCAACAGAGAATACAATAGATGTGTACTCGTCCAACAGCGTGAAAGTTGTATCACATTCAAAGACAATGATGAACAAAATGCAACAGTATCAAAGAACACACAGTTTATGTAGTACACATTTTGTCATTTTATGCAATTTTAATTGACTGCATTAAAGTAAAGAATTTTCTTCACTACGCATTATGCGATATAACATCACTATGCATTGAATTGCACAATAATGAATCGCGAAGCGTGAACGCTTTGCATAGAAGAGAAAATAGAAACATAACTGCGAGACAGTGAAGTGAATCACACGTTTATATGCCTAGTATTACGTTTTTGAACGTAACAAGCAACCAAATAAAACATTGGTGCGTTATTTTTTCTCTCAAGCTTCTGCGCGGGTGACTACTCTGCTTCAAAATTATCTGAAAACCAGCAATAGGTAATCACTCACTTTTGATCCATACCCAGAAGCCATGCCTTGTCGCCACGGAAGATCCTTCCGCGTGCACTGCGCGGCACACGGGAGCCCTAATGAATGGGCCACGCCTGTAGCTGCGGGGCGAAGGCACAAAGCGAGGCATCCATTCGTCATTCAATTAACGACACAATGCCACGCCGCGGCGGGCAAACAAGTGCACGGCGACATTAGCTCCCCGCCCCCGCCCGCAACCCCGCTCGCTTCTGCCCACAAACGCCGGAACACTCCGCTTCCTCTTCTCGCTACCCTCCTCTCTCTCTGTTGACATTTTACTTCTTCTCCTCTCCCTCGCACGCCCCACCTCTCCCATTCGCCTGCGACCTCCCCGTCGAATCCCTGTCGCCTTACGCACGCCTTCGCCTCGAACGCCGCGCTCCGCCTTCCTTGGGGCGCACACGGCCGCGCCGCCCGGACATTGCTCGATTATTATTCCAGCAATTTGCCTGCGAGCGATGGCGGGCGAGATAAGGCTCTAAACAAACCCCGCACTCCGACGGGAATAACACATCGCGGATAATCCCACCGGCGGCAGAAAGGGAAACAGCTACCCCGCGGCGCGTAATTCACGGATAAATACAACTAAACGCTCGGATTTGTTAGCTCGGCGACGTGTTAACAAGAGCAGCAATTATGCCTGTGCAGCGGACTCCCATGCGAGGATGTTCCCTCAGTTAACATGCGTACTTTGCTCCGTCTGCGCTACGTAAGCTCTTGTAATAGGAACTAACCCATGAAAAGTTCATATTACGAACAGGATGTGTAGTAAGTACAACATATGTTGGTTTTGATCTTGATAACTCTTTTGTTCTGGATACCTCTATATATAAGACGGAAAGAGCTGCTTAAGCAACAACCGGTGTTGTACAAAAATATGTTTGGACCAAATTACATGTAGAACTACAAAATTTGGAACAGAGCCTGGATTTATTGGTTGTTCCCCCCAAAATCCTCTCCATCGTTTCGCAAGTGGTCGTCCTGGGCGAACGGGTCGGCGTGTGCGCAGGCTTCTTCCCGCTGTCGTCGGCGTACTGCCTGGCGTGGATCTGCCTTGACGTGCTGTTCTGCACGGCGTCCATCATGCACCTGTGCACCATCTCCGTGGACCGCTACCTGTCGCTGCGCTACCCCATGCGCTTCGGCCGGAACAAGACGCGGCGCCGCGTCACGCTCAAGATCGTCTTCGTGTGGCTGCTGTCGCTCGCCATGAGTCTCCCGCTCTCGCTAATGTACTCGCAGGTCAGTCACCGGTCAGCATGCGCGCTCCCGGCCCCCTTCTCAATCACACTTCTTTAGAACATTCAATTGTCACTACCCTGTCACTTTACTAGACGAGCAATTACTCGGAAATGCGCCCTGCGCTGCAAGAAAAGCTTCCCTCCCACGATGTGGCCTTGTTAATGAGTAACAAATTTTATTCCAATAAAATGACATGCTAACGCCAATTGCATATCATATAATGGGCAATATATCAGACCTACGAAACTGTTCGAAGCATTGGTCGATTAGCTTTGATATTGCAGTAATTAGGCGATTCGGATGTTCGATTCCCAGTCGTAGTGGAGACTTTCAAGAATTTGGATTCTTACAGATGTATTTCACACATTTTTTAAATTGTAAAGGTTAAGTTTATTTTCATATTCACTTTGCATGCATCAACGCAATCCTTTACTACTGTATTGCAGGACCACGCGTCGGTGCTGGTGAAGGGCACGTGCCAGATCCCGGACCCGCTGTACAAGCTGGTGGGGTCCATCGTGTGCTTCTACATCCCGCTGGCCGTGATGCTGCTGACGTACGCGCTCACCGTGCGCCTGCTGGCGCTGCAGCAGACGCAGCTGGGCGGCGGCGCGCCGGGGCCCGGGCCGGCGCCCTCGCACGCCTCCACGGGCTCCTCGGCCTCCGCCGCCTGGGCCGGCTCGGGCTGGCTGCTGCACGCCGGCCCCGGTCAGTGCGCGCCCGCGGACGGGGAGGCCCGAACACTGGACACGCACTTCCCTCCCGCGGCGCAAGCCACATACACAGGACGCAAACTAGCGGAACGAAGAACGCTCAGCGATTTTTTGGATTTCACAACCCGACTTCCCTTTTTTTTAAAATTATCTTCAATTATTTCTTCCTTTTACCGCAATATCACACAACATAAATGTCGTTAATAATCGCGGGAAGGAAGAGTTACGACCGCCATATTTCTACATTTTTCCAGATAATTGGCGCGTCCGGGGATACGCAGGTCGGCTTTATATTCCGAACCGCACGTGGACCGCCCGTCCCGTTCAGATTCGTTAATGTAATCGAAACCGACTCGCACAAACCAACCAATTAGCGCGAACAATCGCGCAAAATTGGCCGCCGGGCAGCCAGCGCCGCGCCGACCGCGTGGCGAACCCCCCGGGGCAGCGTGCGATTCCCGAGCGCGACTCCCTCGCCCCGGCGCCGTCCGAGAGAACGCGCGACAAGAGCCGCACAATATTCTGCCCGTACTTTTCAGCGATCACCCTTTCGCCGTCAAGAGCCCGCCTGCTCTGCGCCACCACGCCGAGGCAGCCAAGTACTAGCCAGAAACAGAACGCAGCGTCGCGGCATTTTTCGCAGCACAATTCGCACTCCCTGATCCTCTAAAAAACGTATCTTACGGATCACAAGCAGGAACAAAATTAATAATGCTAATGAATTAAACTGCAACAAAATATTTGCTGAAGTGGTCAAAACATAGGTGTATCAACATACCTATTCTTAATACAAAGGTTCTAATTTGGCGTTTTGGACAGGTTTGCCAGTGAACTGGTACAGGATATGGGGATGCAATCCGCCCAGCCCCTGAGCTTTCGTTCCGGTGGAAGCGGTTGCGTGGGGCACAGAAGGGTGGGGGGTGGCGTGGCGGGGCGTGGGGCGTCCGTCTCGATTAGGTCGCGCGGGGCGCAAATGGATACAAAGTACCTGCGCCGTGCCGCGCCGCTCCCACAGCCGCCGTAAATCCACCCCTTCCCGCCCTCTCCGCGCCCTCATTGCGACATTCTTTAAAGGGAAGCGATCGGAACAAGAGCGAAGCATTGTTCGACTTCGTCATGCGCCTTCGTCGACTTCTTCTCTCGATTCGCAGAGCAAAATATACGCAACAAAAAGTTCACTACGCCAAAGGATCACGCACAAGCAAAAGAACTACAATGAAAAACAAATCGGACATAATACTCTAAGAAACGATATTTTTTGTAGGCAACGATTCAGCCGTCAGTGATTGATTTTGAAGTCTCAAATTCAGAGTAGCAAAACCATCACTACTAGGAAACGCCGGCGTGTATCCAGTCACAACGAGGGAGATCGCTTTGAATATTCCTTGAGAGAACCGCAAATAAAACGGGCGAAGGTCGAGCGTGCGGGCGTCGGAAGGCACGACGCGCGCGGGGCGGGGCGGGGCGGGGCGACAAACGCGCAACAGGTGACGCGCGACGCGGCGCCACGTCGACAGGCCGCTTCCGGCGATACGGTAGCAGCGCCTCCGACACATCCACCGCCCCACACCCCGCCATTCACCTGCTCCACCGCCCGCACCCGCTGCTCTGGCGTGGGCGACGCGCCTCGCCTTCGCTCGCGTGACGGCGCACGCCGCCGCGCCGCGGACACGACAAGGGGAGGGCGTGACGTGCTTTTTATGCGGTTAGGCTCCGTGTCGATAAATTCATTTATGTCTTTAACCGATATCAAACGCTCCTTTCGAAGAGAGATCCTTAGTGATGAAAGAAAAAAAAATAACCATCTCACTACACAATTCCGTTTCTTCAACCGACCCCACCGACCAGTTTATATTCGTCCTGAGGCCGACCAACACCACTCAACCCTCGCGGCCGGCTACCAATCAAATCTTTATGCGCACCTATATCGAATAGAGACCGACGAAAAATTACATTGCTTTACAAAGCCGTCACCGAAATGCACCCTCAAGCCGAAAGCGGCTTTCTCTTCTATCCCCTTCCCAAGGAGGAGATTGAAGAAAACTCGTTTCCCATTAATAACATGGACGCCGAAAAAAAAGGCCCAAGGGAGACGGAGGGTGAGAACGAAGCTAAGGCAGAGGGGGACGGGGCGGGGCGCGGGGTGGGGTGCGAGAAGGCAATGAGGGTCGAGGAACTGCTACCAGCGAGGGTTCCTTTGCGCGCAAATTCACCGACTAGTCTAGGTAGGCCTCCCTCAATAACGCGGTGCTAACGATCCTATCTTGATGACTCGGATGAGGATTTTTAGAAAGCGCGGCCGAATAGGGCATATCTGGAGATTTTTTTCTTTCTGAACAATAGGCAAACGGAGAACAATTCCGAAAAGGTTGTAGAACGAGATGACAGAAACAAAACTGAATGGATATACTACGTATGATAATATACAGCTACTCGAGAGAATATTTAGGTACTGCAAGAAACTCATAATACAATAAACACAGAAAATGATCAACACAGGCGTAGGTGTTTGAAAAAAGAAACGGAATACCCGACCTAACAAGAGTGAAAGAAGCAGATGAAATGAATGAAAAAAATACAGAAACAACGCAGTATATGAAAAAGAAACCTGTGCACTGGAGAAGAAAACAGATGAGAGAAAACGTGTCAATAACAAAGAATGGCGCGAAAGTGGAACGGAGGCGGCAGCGGGGCTCTTGCGGCGACAGGACGTAAATAGGGAACCGCAAGGCGACGGCGCAGGGGCGGGAAGAGCGAGCTCGGGGGGCGAGGCGAGGCGACTCTCACAGCCGGCAGCGCCGTAATTTTCCGGCGCCGGCGCCGCCGCCCCAGCAGCCGATTCCGCTTCCGCTCAAGGCGCCGCCCCCGCCCCCTCAGCCGTCTGCGGTCGTCGGAAGACGTCGGCACTCGCCTCCTCGCCGCGTCTCACGTTCCTCCCTTCTCGTTCTCTCCGCCGCCACCGCCGCCACTTCACCCAGCCACCCCTACCCGTCCCGCTCAGAACCCACCCACGCAACTCAACCTACACACACACGTCACTCCCTTCCCGTCCCACCACCACTACTACTTCTACTTCACGCGCCCACCCTTCCTTGTCTCCCACGACTTCGACATTCTTCGCAATCACCCCACTCCACCTCCGCCGCAATTCACTCACTCACACACACACACACACACACACACACACAGCGACTTCGACATTCTTCGCAATCTGCGCCCCGCCGCCGGAATGGGCGCACTGCGCGACGACGAGCGACGCTTAGCACGAAGCTCTGCGCGATGTCCCCGCAAACGCCTCCCCCCCCCCTCCGGCACTCCTCCGAGGGGCGAGCGATGGAACACGGGCCCGCGGCAAGCCCCCTACCCTCCACACGCAGCAGCCACAGATGTGAAACGCCCAGTTATGAAGTTTGCCGACAACGAATATCGTTGGTGACAGTCGTTCCTTGCCAAGCGTGATGTGCATCTTTAACTTGCCGATTATTACAATGATAAAATTCTCGCGACACGAAACTGGCTCAATATGCATGTTTTCATTTTTTCTTTAACATTCGTATGTTTGCAATAAGCAAAAAAAAAATCGTTTAAAACCAACTCCCACTGCAAAGGATTTTAACTCGTCTCCGATAATCTACAGAATTACTCCAACAATAAAACTTCGAAAAAGCGAAGAAAATACCTTCAGACACTCTCCAACTTCCAAGTCAAGGCAAGTTTTTCTAATGGGATAATTAACCAGCGGAATGAATAAATAGGCGGCTTCGAACTCATTAGGCGTCGGGAGCGATTTTGTTTATTAACGAAGGGCGAGCCTCACTAATTAATGGCTTCGCAAGGGCACGCAGATAATAATAAAAATAACTCCGACAGAAGAGATCCCGCCAAAGAAGTCTGCCACAAAAACTTCACTCTAAAAATGGCGATGCAGAAGACAATTTCTCGCATCAAAATAAAAACAGATCCTTCGTGTTGCACGGACGGTGGTGGGTTTAACACACAATAAACCTGACTAGTATCACTATAGATTCTTGATGCATAAATAAGCGACTTCTTTCGAAGAAGTATTAATTTTTCTATGGCCTTCACGACAGAACTCCCATTGCGTGTGCGAAATGCACGATGCGTCAACAGGGCAAGACGACCGCTCCAAAGCGCGCGAATAATTCGCCGGAGCAGCGATTCGCGCGCTTCGGATCAATAAGCAATTCACCGCCATGAGATTAGAATGGACGTGGACCCAATATTCTCGTAAGCACACGGATTATGCCCTAGCCTGGGAGAGAGATAATACACTGGGCCGGCAATATTGGTGTAGCACACGGCTGCACACACATTTCTCACTCCACACCACGCTTCCGAGTCAAGTTTGTTTCCCCGCCTTTAATTAAACTTTCCCGTCACTCCATTGTGTTACATTCAAAAAGGAAAATGTAAATGAGAAACGCAGCTGGTGAAACACCAGAATATCACAACACACACTACACAAAAATGTACGAAACTACAGATCAGTAGAACAAAAGGAAATGACAGTTGTTCGCAATATAAAATTAACAGTCATAACTACAGGGAGTTATGCAGGAAGCATCCAAGGCGCAAGCATCAACAAGACTGAAAACATCCTTCCAAATTCTAAACACATCCAAAAATTTTGAGAAGGTGTCCCGTCCAAAATCAGATATATGTGGGAATTGTATGTACATGCAATTCACATTAGTTGTTCATAATTCAACCAAACAATATTAAACATTGTCTTTCTTATTTGCAGAAAGTGACTAAAGCAGTAATAAAATTATTTTCTGCTAGCATTAGCAACATGTTGTGAAATGCAAATGTTTGGAGTCGGTTGTTCGCTTTGGTGACCGACGCTGCGTTGCAGGGCTCGAGCGGCGCGGCACGTGGGGCCGCTTCCTGACGTCAGCGCGCGGCGGGGCGGCGGCGCGCAAGTCGGCGGCCGCGGCGCGTGTGCGCGGCGGCGTCTGGCGCCGGAGAGCGCGGGGGCGGCGGCGGGGAGGGTCCGGCCACCCCGCGCCCGCGGGCTACGGGGCGACGGGTCGTCGGGCGGAGGCGGGGCCGGGCCGGGCACGCGCCGCCCGCGGGCAACACGGCGTCGTCTACCGAGACGGAGGACGTGACGGAGGACGGCGCCAGCTCGCTGGAGGCGCGCGACCTCTGGCTAACGGACGAACGACGCCCGCCGCCGTCAGCGCGCTCTCGCACTTCGGCGCGGAGATGCTCAAGCTGTCGCGCGGCCTCGAGACGGTGGCGGCGGCGGCGGCGCAGGCAGCGCCAGGAACACTCTCCAGGCGCCGGCGCCCGCGCGCGCGCCGCCACGCCGCCCACCAGACACCCCAGCAGGTACTCGACCCCCACCTCGCCCCGCCTGCGCCTCACCACGGGTAGGCAGCGCGCTTGATTGAATTGGGGCAGCTCACACTGCTCTGTACGGGAGGGAAAGTTGTGAAATAGTAGTGGTGCCTTGTAGCGAGTTCCGTAAATGCCATACGCATGCAAAATGAATTGCGCGTCCTGTGCAGCGCAACGGCAGCCGCAGCAGCCGACGCAGCAGCCGGCGCAGCAGCCGGGCCAGCAGCCGCAGCGCGTCGCCGCCGGGTCGCTGCTGGGCGCGGGCAGCAGCCGGCCGTCGAGCCGCGCGTCGCCCTCGCCGCCTCCGCAGCCCGCGTCGGCGCCACTGCCGCCGCTCGTGGAGCCGCCGGCGTCTCGGGGCGGGCCCCGCGGCGGGCGTCCACCTTCCACGTGCGGCGGCGCGGGCGCGCTGCTGGGGGCGGCGGGGCGCGCGGGCGGCGCGGCGGCGGCGCGGGGGCGTCCTTCCACGAGGCGCCGCTGGACTGGCGCCCGCCCGCCCCGCGCTCCGCCACAGGTACGTGCTCCTTCGCGTTCGCTCTTTAGTCATGTGTCGAGGGAAGGGCGTGCTGATGCAGCGCGTGGCGGTGCGCAGGGCGGGGCGTCGCCGGAGCCGTCGCCGTCGTCGTCGGGCTGCGGCCGCCGGACGACGCGCAGTCGGGCACCGCCTCCCCCTCGCACCACGTCGCCGCTCACGCCGCGCACGCGCGCCGCAGCGTCGTCTCCTTCCCGCTGCCGCCCCCTGCACGTGCCCCTACTCGGCCAGCAGCAGGGGCGCGCCCAAGGAGCGCGAGCGCCAGGGCCACGCCCGCCCCCGCTGCCGCCGCCGCGCTCCCCGCGCGCGCGACACGGCTCCGACGTCGCCGCCCCCGCGCCTTCCTCAGCCGAGGGCTCGCCGCGCGGCAACAGCGTGGTGAGTACGCGCGCTTCCAACCTTCTTGCTGCTAATGACCTACCATCCCAAACACGATCCATTACTAGTGTGAGAAAAGATCACAGGCTCCGCCTGGTTAAGTGTACGCTGTTCAGTTGTTTAGCAAGCAGCCTCACTTCCAGCTAGTAACGTTTTCAAACGATGTTACCTGCCGGAGCCGCGCGCGTGTTTTAATGAACCCTTTCGTTAACATTTCCTTGGTCTTTGTGCGCAGATGGTGACGTGGGAACGGCGCGGGTCGAGCGCACGCTCCACGCTGGTGGCGGGGAGTGGCGGCGGGCGCACGTCGCCCACGGCGCCCCGCGGCGCCACCCTGCGCCGCTCCGCCACGCTGCGCCACCAGCACCACCACCACCACCACCACAACGGCGCGCCGGGCGCCAAGGCCGCGGGGGGCGGGGCGTGCACGCCGCCGTCCTCGTCGCGCGGGGGCGCGGGCGCGGGCGCCGGGGAGAGCAGCGCGCAGTCGTCGCCCTGCCTGCTGGTGCGCTATGGGTCGCGCTCGCGCTCCAGTCGCAGCACCACGGGCACGGTGCGCTCGCACCACTCGCGCACGTCGTCGGTGGCGTCGCGCACGTCCTCGCGCCACGGCCGCATCATCCGCCTGGAGCAGAAGGCCACCAAGGTGCTGGGCGTCGTCTTCTTCACCTTCGTCGTGCTGTGGGCGCCCTTCTTCGTGCTCAACCTCGTGCCCACGGTGTGCGGCGAGGAGTGCGAGCGGCGCATCGACCACCGCGTCTTCGACTTCGTCACGTGGCTCGGCTACGCCTCCTCCATGGTCAACCCCATCTTCTACACCATCTTCAACAAGGTGTTCCGCCAGGCCTTCAAGAAGGTGCTCACGTGCCAATACCGCAAGAAGGTGTGGCGGCCGCCGGCGTAGCGCGCCCGCCCGAGGACGCGCCCCCGCTGTGCTGGTGACTCCGACGCGAGTCCATTGCCACTTACTCGCCTCACGAATACAACCCGGATGCTATAACTCGATCCAAAACTACTGTGTCCCTAGCTCCACTGGCGTCTCGAGCGCGTATTCTCAATTCGAAACAAGGCTGACAAACTCAAGATTACTCCATGTTCTAGCTTATCTTTGACGTGTGGCCCAAAAAGAGTGAGTGAACCCATTCTTTGAAAGAAGAGGCTGTGCGAGTGACGCTCGTTTCCGCATGCCAGTGATCCTGAGCCGTACGAGTGCCGCGTGCAGGCCGCAAGAGCCACAACGTAGGTGTCAACGCACAAAGGCGCGCGGGCGGTGCAGGGGGGCGTGGCCCGGGGACAGGCAGCGCCCGGGGCGCCGCCCCCCTGCCCATCGCCCCCGCCGCGAGCGACGCCCGAGCCTCTCTGTCCTCCCGGCCTCGGCGCGTCGCTCCACACTCGAACTAGACAACCATCCCTTAGTGTACTTGTACATAAGCAGGGTGTATCGGTGTTGTAACGAAATACTCTATGCGTAGACCCGTAGCGCCGCCCGCAGAGGAGGCCGGGCGCGGGCCCTGCACAGGGCGCGCCCCGGCGGGTCTTCTTCCCAGAATCCAAGTCTATTTTTCCAATGGATACTACTACTATTGTACTACTACCACAACTGAACTATTACTACTACCACTACCATCGCCACTACTACTTCTACTACTAATCGGGAAGAATTTCCGCTGTAAACAAATACTTCTGTGATGCTTTCTAAAAAACACACACGTACCTACTCCGACGCGAAGTGTCACTAGCTCTCGCTTTTGGCCTATATATAGAATGTAAATTATTGGTTTAGTATCTCGTGATTGAAGCGTGACGCGCCGTTGGTTGAAACAGTGTTCCGCAACAAGACAGTCTTCTGATTTCATTGACAACTCTTCGCCGGTGACTTAGAAGCGAAGGTTGCTGAATCAATCGCTCTTCCGACTAATCCACAGCAGCTACCTGCAAGGGAGACTGAAGGACGTTGCGACACACTATTGCTGGCGCGGCGCGCTGCCGGGGCGGAGGCGCAGGCGGGGCGGGGCGGGGGCGGGAGCGGGGCTGAGTGAGCGGAGGACCAGTCGGCCCAAGCGCCCCAGGGGGTCCAGCCTGCCCCCCTGGGGCTCCGAGGGCGGTCCCAACGCCCGCGCCCCCCGGTCCTCAAGAAACTTCCATCCACCAGCCTCCTCCCCGCCTCGCTGCCGGTGGCCCCGCCGGGGCGTTCGCACCCTCAAGGGCCCAACAGCACTTTAGCAAATTGTTGTTCCACAAATCCATGTAATAAGCTGGAGAATAAATGTACTTGAACTCGATCTGGATCTTGCCTCGAACGCGCCCTCGGAGCTCCGCCACCGGCGGTCTTCCCCCGCCCTCCTCTCCCCCCTCCCGCGATTCGGCAAGAAATTTAGGGTGTGAAAGTAACCATGTCCAATTGTCAATATTACCAAATAAAAGGTACGTAGATGTAGTTCATATTATTCTCCCCGCCCTCTTCAATCAGCCCCTGCTGCAGCGTCGCCCCACGTCGCGCCGATGCAAGGCGCCGCCACCGCACGGTAAGTCAGCCTTGGACCCAGGCCCCTCCCCCTCACGCACCGCCGAAGGCGATGGCCCTACGTTCCGCAATTGCTCTACTCACTCACTTCACCACGTCCCACCGGAATACTTTGCCTTCGCGGAGCTCGTCGTTCATTGCTAGGCGGACGGGCGAAAACGCAGAGTCGTGGAAATGAATTCTCCAACCGCAACGCTACAAAAACACGAGGATGTAGGTGGATGGCGGGGTGGGGGGGGGACGATGCATACGCNGGGGGAGGCGCATCGACTGCACGTCGCATTAATGAGAGCGCGGCTGCCCAGGAGATTCCGACTCCGCCGCGTCTCATTACAAACCCCGCACGCGGCGAGGTTCATTACAGGTGACACGGATACACAATTTTCGCAAATTCGAATAGCCTGGATCCCGGTGTCTCTCGCACGCTGCTTATTTATAGGAGCGGGCGGACGAGGGCAGGGGAGAGGGGCGACCCAGGCGCCACCCGACGCCGCCGGGGCCGGGGCTAGGTCGCACACTAATTAGACGGGAGCAAGGTGGCCGGGATTGGACCGGCTACCCTCCACATCACGCGCACGCGCTCCCGTCACCCGTCTTTCCCCACCGCAGGCAGCCCACTCGACCACTGCCACCACGAGCGTCAAGAAGCCCGTTTAAACTCGGTTTTTCTGTGTGAAATACTTTTACTTAAAGTTTAAACAGGCGTACGCTTCTTTCAATGGCGTAATTCGTATCTAGGCTATTTTGCTTCTATTTGAAATATCCTCATTTAGGGTTAAATTTACGATCTATTCCATTTCTATTATTAGGAATACTTCGAGAAGTCACTCGTCACACCCCTTTCCAAAACGGAGGATATGTTTTTCAACTTTCTAAAAACTTCTCTATATTTACAATTTATTCTTACGTCACACTGGCCGCACACAGAGTCGCTTTGTGGAGTGGAGAGGAGAGGAAAGAGGAGGTTGCGTGCCGGAAGCCGGCAATCGGGCCATCTTCTCGAGCGTCCGGGCGCGGCCCAGTCACCATGCAGGCGGCGAGGAGGGGGGTCGCGCTGGCCGCCTCCTGCGCCTGGCTCCTCTGCGGTCTCCTGCCCGTAAGCACCAGCCGCTGCGCTTCACCTGCTTAGGAGGTGGGAAGGGAATATCGCGAGTAGCCATTGCCACGTGGTATCGTCGTTCATCGTCATGTGCTCGGAAGCGATCAAAGCAGCCGGTCTAAGCACTCCCATCCGACTCACCCATGTGAGACATCACGCTACTGCCTCGTCGGGACCTCCCTTAGACGGTCTACCTTAATGAGGTGCCCATTCCACACTTCTTTATACACCCACACACAGTATCATCAAACATCGACGAGGTCAGGAACTTATTTCAGTTGTCTTCGAGACCACAGACGACTGAAGAGAGTTCCAAGTCCATAACACAATCTGTCAATACACGAAAACTGTCATTGGCACTGCAAATAAAACTTAAGTTTCTCTCTCTCAAACATAGCATTTGTTTTCGCAACGACGACAATCACAAACTTATCACTGTGTATTTGACATTTCAACCTTACAATAATAAATACAAAATAGAAATTGAACAACTCACAGCGAGACAAATATTGTTGAAATTAGTTTATTTCGGAACAGATATATTTTGAGGTTAAGTTACTTCGGATAGCTCGTCTTTCAAACATTGGCCATTTTATTTCCAGACAGTCCCAGCCAAGGAAATCACATTGCATTCGCTTGGCCCCTGCAAAGCGGAATGCCTGGAATCAGCCCGGAAGAGAATACGAATAGACCCGGCCAACGATACTTCGGCCTGGCTTGTTGAAGACATGGAAATGAAACTGGTAGAGGCCGAAGATTACGCGCTTTCAGGATTTGTCACCATACATGCGGAATTGGAAAAACCAGTTGAAGTAATCACAACGTCTGCAATTAAGAGATTATTATAAAATAATTGTCGCACTGACACTCATACAGAGATGTGCCTTCATTATCACGAGGACATCAGGACATAAAAAGATGCAGTATATTTGCATACAGAATAATTTAATTCAATGCACATTTCACACATTGTAATCTACACATATAAGAATTCATTTATACCTAATTGGGACTTTATACAAATCTACATGTACTGATCGCCACTAAAGGGGGCACAAATATGCAGATTAATCCAATTTATGAGTTTCCAATATTTCTCAAAAAAAGTAATTGAAAAAATTCAGTTTCCGTTGGTATTGTCTAAGAATATGAGAAGATATTCAGAAATGCATATTTCAAACGCACTTGGCCATGAAGTGATGTTCACGGAAAAAGTAGTACCACTTCAAACAAAACTTAACATTACTTATTTTAGAAAATAAGATTTTCCATAGAGACAGGATGAAACCACTACACTATGATTATCTTACAGACATATGTGACAACGACACATTGTACTTCAGCATCCGACGTCAGCACGTGCCAACAGAACTTGGAAATGACGTTCCCCGATATATGCGCCATGCTACGAAGGAAGAAATGCCCTGAATTGAAGTTACTAGAACACCTCGAAAACTTTCAACGGTCTTGTCCCCTGAAAGCGGTAAGTTTTGAATACAACGAATACGCAATGAATATCACTAGTTGTATTCAATAAAAACACTTTAATAGGTGAGAGATCACAAACGTGTACAGTTCTTAATACTTCACTCGCACAAGTTGTGGGATAGCTCCTAATGACGTGTCGGACCTCCTTTTTCCCGGAAAAGTGTAGCAACTCGACGTGACAAGGACTCAACAAGTCTTTGGAAGTCCCCTGCAGAAATATTGAGCCTTGCTGTCTGTAGATTCGTCCGTAATTGCGCAAGTGTTTTCGGTGTGGGATTTTGAGCACGAACTGACGTATCGATTATGCCTCATAAATACGATTTGGATGGCCAAATAATTTTCTCGAATTGTCCAGAATGTTCTTCATACCATTTGCGAACGATTGTGGCCCGGTGACGGCGCTTTGCCATCCACGCCAACATTCCAAGTTGTTGTTTAGGAACATGAAGTCCATGAGAGGCTGCAAATGGTATCCACGTGGATGAACATATAACTATTTGTTGCTTGTCTGTTAGCCCCGACAACTCTTCAAATGAATCACTTGAATACAAATGCACTCTCCTTTTGTACCTTGTGTACGCGATATTACTGCCATCTGGATATTTGTGTATTGCTATCCCATGACCTGTCACCTCAATGTAACATCACAGCGTAGCGTAGCATAGCATAGCATAGCATAGCATAGCATAGAATAGCATAGCATTGCATTGCATGAGTCAAACTCAAAAGAGCAATTGAAACAGAATTACATAAGAATTTCTAGATTTAGGGTATTGTCGCGATCAACTTTTGATGAAGTCTTCAGCTGGAATATCATTAACATACAATACGCCCTTAATGTATTTAATGCGTAACCCTTAATATAATTAATGTCGATCATGTTTTTTAGGGTAAATACTTCCTGAATCAATTTCCTGTGAAGTCAAAGGATGTAAACAAACTTTGCAGCTCGGATGGAGTGTACGATGTGTGTGTTGCTGTAAGATCTGGAACAACAAGCGGTTGCTTGCAGATGAATTTTTCATTAAATGGTAAATGAATCTAAGATTTTTCGAACAGAAAAAAAAAAGAACCAAATAATGTTACCTCTCTTCATGTTCGAAATTGAATAAAATTCGTTCTACAAAAGGTTTCTGTAATATTAGTATGCGTATACCCATATCTCTCCTTGTTTCACAGCACTGAGTGGGAAACGAGTAGGCTTGAGTATATACACTCAAAATTACAAAGCGTATGTGAGCAGCTGCACAGAATGAGCCGCCGAATGGGCAATGGAAATTTTACGGATCGGCCAAACAAAACCATGAGGCTTTGAAACTACACTTCTATCTTTTCAATTATTTTGTCGTGTGTTTTTAACCTTCATTTTTGATATACTGTTTTTAATAATTACACTTTCTTAAATAATGTAACTTTTCTACCATTAGTATAAAAAATAGTGAAATATTAAGTTCGTTTTTCTTGAAATATATTTAATGTCAACATTCAATCACTGCCATCTTTTGAAGTATTTCACCAAATCTACGAACTTTTTGGAAGAGCTCATGACAATGCCTTATGGCAATTTTAGAAACACAAAAATCTTAACCCTAAATACTCCGACTTAAAATCCCTTTCCATACAATAGTCACAAATCGATGCCATTCTGAAAGTCGTCCACATACATACATACTGCTGATTTCGCGGCTTTGAGTAGCAAGACTAACTTCACTTCGGCGAGCCCACGAGGATACACAAAAAAGCATTCATACCAAGCGACGAGACACTTTTTGCCATATCTTTTCTAGCGCAAAATAACTCAAAATTAAAGGCAGTACGCACTGTGTTTACCACTGGTTGGCGGGCAAAACGTACGGACTTCGCGAGAGAGAATTTCTGAAGGCGTGACTCTTGCGGTAATTCAAGAGGCACTTGCGGACGTCGACCAGGCAATTAATTTCCCAGCTGAGCTCTGACCGTTGGGCGCGGAGGTTTTCTCCAGCGGCAGGGGTAGGGGGGGAGTGAACGGCAATTAGGAGAGGCGAATGCTGCGGCTAACGAAGCAGGAGGAGAAAGAGAGGGAGAGGGAAGGGCTCGTAACGAACTCGGGGACGGCCAAGCGGCTCAAAGGCGCCCGCAGCCTTATTAGCACGCGCCGCACACTCACACATACACACACACACGCGCGCGCAAGCACTCGTTACTACGGACTACAAGGGAAGGCACCGCGCGCTTCAGAACTTCAAAAAACTTGAATTTCAATTCGAAATATTTTTTTTTATGGGAAAAGAAAAATCACAAATGTCCGCACAAAAATGACCGAAAATAAACAGGCCCGCGACTGAACATATTAAGCGGCTTGGTGCACTGAACCCGCCGGAAAGAGTGATTTGGCCAACGCACTTGGCGGCCGCGCATCGACCCGCCCCCGCCCGGGGAAGACAGCTGATCAATGCGGGCGGGCGCCGCCCCCGCACCTCGCGAACGCACACGCACGCACATACACACACACCGCGCTAAGGAAAGAGGCTAGCGTGTCTCAGGACTTCGTTAACACTCTCTCGTCACCTTTCAGCCAAAAAAGGATTGCCACTTTAAATGGTTCGAAAGATTGCAGATTGGAAGCGATAGACGCTGAACCAGATGACTTAAAACACGTTATACGTTTTAATCCAAGTGTAAAAGAGTGTGTCTCAGCGAGGACTCCCCATCTTTACAACTTTGAAACTAGCCAGCGAATTTTCACGATCGAAGATTTATTTTGAGCGGCGGAGTGAGGAAAGCCTGTACGAAGGTAATTAAAATCAATACCTCTGGCATTAAGAAGGTAAAGAATGCAAGAATCCAACGCTAATTAAACTTCAACAATTAGGTAATGTTTTTATGGGTAGTAACAGCAGCCATTAAAGCTAACGATCTGTAATGAAACGCAGAAAAGCTTCCTTGTGAGTACACTAAACTTTAGTGTATAGCTGCAGAATAACGCCGCTAAGAGTATTAGTATTTAGGTTTCCTGTTTCTTCATTGAATAACAATTTTCTCTTCAGGAAGTTGAATTTCGTATCACACACCACACTCTATTGAAATAATAATAATAATAATAATAATAATAATAATAATAATAACAATAATAATAACTATAATAATAACAATAATAACAGCGAACACGCAACCGCAAGCAATAGAAAAATATTGATTTGTACAGGACATTACCCAACATTACACATTTCTCATTCGCAAGTTCGCGGCAAGTTTTTATTACCAAATCACAAATACCGAGTTATGTAACTTCAGATGTCGTGCAAGTTCATTTCATAAAACAAATCATAAAAAGTTATCACCATCGCCGTCTACAACACGAGACACCGCCGACTGAGCAAAACAATCCAACAGGAAGCGCAGAACCAACAATCGCAGCAGGGCCATCGTGTTTGGAACCGCCTGCCTCCCTGCGCCAAGGCTACGCCCAAGAACGGGAACCATAGATGCACAGGTTCGCCTCGAAACGTCAAAATGTGCCTTTAGGCCATAAGGTAAAATACTTATACAGTAGGCACTTTATTACATTCGGAGAATGTGCGGCGTGAATGTAAAGAAAAACGCATTTCTTGGGAGACTTGCGAGTCGCCCAAGCGAAGTCATCCACTCATGGTGATTGCTTTGCGAGGGGCGCCCGACTCGCAAGTCCTAACCTCAGCGACCGCCATGGATGAGATGTAATGCCCAGCGAAAACTCTCTTGGCGAGCGAGAGGCGAGAGAGGTCGTGAGGGGAGCGAACCCCACGGAGCGCCCCTGCGCCTTTCCCCTTCAAGCCGCCGCCGCCGCAGCAGCAGCCCCAACACGAGCGGTTCTCCCCCCCCCCTCCCGCCGTCAGGCACACGAGGGTCAAGCACGCTCGACAGGAATAGGGGGGTACAGCACATGGTATTAACAATATAGATATGATTGTACGTAGATAAAATTGGAATTATCTACAAATTTAATCGCATTAAAACTATCATCGGGTGATTTTTCACGTTACAACATCCTTGAAAAAAAAAACAGTTTTCTTTATCAGAACACGAGTACATAGTGAACCACTAATGATCAACCACAATAATTACGGAACAACAGAGCATGAAAAAAAAACGCATACAGAATACAAACAGTAACTAGCGAAAAGAGCCCGATCAGTTTATTTTCTTGGTCGACTAATTTATTATTTTATTCATATATGTGTAGTTCATTTTTAATTTTATAATTCAATTTAACTCCCTGCTTACCCCAGAAATATAAAATCAAACGTGTCGCTTTGTAAGAGCATTATTTGTATGCCTGCAGTATAGAAATATGTACAAATTGCGGCACACCAATAGGTACACTATTGACGCCTTCACGTCCTCTTAAAACCGCCAAAATACACAACTACTTAATTTGTATTAGTGAATTACTGGTTGCGCTAACATGCAAACATTATTCGTTGCAGGCTCCACAACACACATCGAAATCATAAGACTAAACAAAATGAAACAGATTAACGACCGTACAGAACATACCGCTACAATCGTATTATTGCACTACACTGATTCAGTTAAACAAACTTTATGAAGTACCATTGGGTTCGGTTTAAAGTAAAACGTTTCCAAACGTCAGAACGTGGGGGTATAACTAGCAGTGAGCGCATTAAGTGCTGCTTCTGCGCGCGCCTCCCATCAACACCCACGCGCTTATGAATGGCAAACACAGCGCAGCAGTGCGCGCAATCTGGCGATCACGCAGCCAACTGCCCCATCAATCCCCGGCTCACCAGCGCCCTCTATTTCGCTCTGTTTGCACGCGAACTCCCCGTCTTCGCCACGCAACGACAGGGCTCCGTTGAAATAGCGTAAGGCTAAAATGAGTGCTCTTCCAATCACACTCCTACGTGCGAGAAGGATGATAAAACAAAACAAATGAAAGCAGACACATTTGTTCTAATATTCTCAAGTACAATGTCCCAGAATGAACCCTAATTATTTATAGGGTGATTCCTCGCAGTAGATAACGCAGGCAGAACGCGCAAAATTTCTCAATTATAGGCAGCATTAAAATCAACAAACTGGACATAAAATAAAATGATTTTCATATAAAGAAAGAATAGTAAAAGAAATCAACTTTTCTGAATCAGACATTACATCTCGTATTACGCGTCGTCGCAGTTGCAATTAATCCTCATGCACTGTGCTTGTAACGAGAATTTTGTTCTGCTGACGACATGAAGTTATGATGGAAATACGACATCTTATTCACCCACATTTTTGTAGTCAAAAAGCGTCTATCACACACCAAATCTGATGATAGAAATCTCCGAAAGCCGGCTATCATTCAAATAAAAATAAACCTTTGGAGAAGACTACACCGGCTGGCTTCACGTGCAGGGAGAAGTCCTTTCCGAAAGAACAGCCGCAGTGGACTCGGGCGGCGCACCGCGGGTTGCACCGCGTCCGCACACGACTGTACCTCCGCCAAATGCGATAATGGAAGGCAATACCTGCAGGTGCATTATTGATGGGGCGCATGCGAACGGGTGGTCTCGCAGTGCACCCTGCTACGAAAGAAGCAACGCCCAAGCGCCCAAACAAAATTAAACACAGGGCTCCGAACGGTAAAAAAGTAACAGATGCCTGACTAATATTTTAATTCATATGGGCTACTTTTAGAATAATCACAAACGACTTTTCATACTTAGCATCATATGTACTTAACCAACGAACCTAATGAAACAAAGTGCACGTAAAGGCGTAAGGTAAGAAATGAAGTATTGAAATGCAGGTCATAAAGAGGCTTAGGATTTTCTGGTAACGAAAAACATTTGGACTGCCATAACATTTTTTTGGAACATGCAGATTGGCAGTCCCTATCAGGTACGCCAATTAAAAAAGTGCATTAGCGCGCAGTGAATGTACCATAGATTCACTTTAAGAGAATACTACAGTGGAGCTGGCAACAAAATTCACATGCAAAGAATCCAGCCGCAGTGGCGAACCCGTCCACAACGGGCGAGAGCGAAAACCAACCCCAAACCACATGCCGCCACACCAGCCCC